TTGTAGTCTACAGGTTTAGTGTGAGTGTGAGTGTGTGTGTGTGTGTGTGTGTGAGTGTGTGTGCGGTTGCAGGGACAGACTTGTTCACATTGTGATGACTCATCCCGCATTTAGGACAACAGGCCGCGAGGTTCAGACTGACTCAGGCTCTGCTGAGGGTTGACTTTATGTGCAGGTTGTGGTGAACGGTGACGGTTAGCCCACAGTGTCCTCACAGGTAACAATACGTGTGTGTTGTTGGGGGAGGGGCACCGTGGAGTCACACACACACACACACCTGTTTCCGTGGTGACGTAATAACAGACAGGTGGTTTCTAACAGGTGTGGTTGGTTTACAAAGGGAGGTCTGGGAAATCTGCCACACCCTCTTCCTCCTTTCTTCCTCCGCCAGTTCTGTCCTCTTTCCTCCCTTTCCTCACCCTCCTCTTCCTGCAGTCCTGTTTTTCCTACAGCATGCCCCACCTCCCTTCCCCTCCTCTTCTTCCTCATGCAATCTTCCAGCCCTTCTGCTCCTGTTTATTCTCTTTTTTTATTGTCCCCCTGCCTCTGCATCTTCCTCCTCCTTTGCTTCCTCTTCTACCTCCCTGTAGTGTTTCTCTTCCTTCCCCCCTTTTCTCCTCCTCCTACATCCCCCTCTTCCTCATTTTCGTTCTTTCTTTAAGCATCCTTCCTTGTTGCTGTTCTATCCCTTTTCTTTCTCCTTCAGTTTGCTCTCCTTACCTCTTCATCCTCCTTTGTGTCTTTTATCTTCTCCTCCTCTTTCTCTCCCCTCTCCTCAGTCCTTTCTCTGCTTTTCCTTTTTTCATCTCTCATGAATCTCTTTAATCTCTTCATCATCTTGTGGTAACATGTAACAAGCTGGTGCTCCTAATGACGTTGACAGCAGAATGAATGAAATGCTTCCCCAGTGATGTGTCTGTAGAGATTCCCACCTGCTTTCTAACCTGTTGTGTTCACAAACATGGCCGCTGCACATCGGAGCTGCGAGGGATGCAGCACTGTCAATGTGAACAGAGTAGACTTGTGTTTTAATGTTTTATTCATGAAGAAGATATTTCAAAAGAGCAATTTATGGTTGCAGAGCTCATTTGAACTACTTTATATACTGTTGGGTAGTTTAATCTCCAACAATGCATCATATTTTATGAGCTCATCACAGGTTCTGTGTGTTAAATCTTAATCTAACTGTCAGAGATAAAAAAAAAGCAGATGAAAAAGCATAAAGTAGACTTCCCCAAACAGCTGTTCCCATACCATTTTTTCCTTCCCGATACGATACCTGAACTCTATGTATCGGCCGAGTACCGATCTCATAAGTGCCTTACAAACAGCTGCTCCTGCGCTGTATGAATGCTGTCGTTGTTGTATGTTCTGGCTCAGATTGGTAAAACATGAACAAATGCATACAGAGAATGAATACCACAGAATTTGTACTATTATCAGTGTTGACAGTCACATTGCTGAACTTTAGCTAGCTGTTGGTTAATGTTACACTACTGGAAATCAACTCTTTTTCGCTGCTTTATAGCCACATAACCCGCCCTACTCTGCCTCTGATTGGCTACTACTCGTAGCCTTTGTTGGTTTGGGTTGGTTAGGTTTCGGTTAAGAATATCAGAGTAAGCCGATCAGACTAGGGCAGGTCATTACTTCGCCATCCCGGGTAAAACAAAGGCAATGATGGGAAATAGCCGCTTCCCAATACTAAAGCAATCCAGCATTTTAGGCAGTACCGGAGGCATTTCCAATACTGGTATTGGAACAATTCTGTTTTCAGCGGCGGATTCATCCACATTTGATTCTCTAGTGCTTATTTGAGGCAGCAGGATGGTGTACGTGTGACTGAGTCAAAATAAACTGCATGTCACCCAGTGTGGCTCACTGATGTGTTTTTAATAGCTGTTGGACAACAATGGATGGCACCGAGGATGAAGATATATATACCCACTTACTCACAACAATCACTTTTATTTTCATCTTTAATTGCTGACTGAATAATTGAAATAAAATGCACCTCATTGTAAGACCGCCTGATGTTTTATTCCTGCACGTGACTCGCAGACAGCCAGACGCAGGTTCTCCCTTGTTAGCATAAACGTGTGGGCGGAGAGAGATTTCACTGTGTCACTGTGGAGGAGACTCCACTCTGATGCTTCTAATTGTGTTTGTGTGTGTGTGTGTTTGGATATTCAGGCTGCGGAGTCAGGTGACTCATTTCACCCCTAATCCTTATGTTTAATTAAAGGAAAACAATGAGAACATTTTACAACCACTGGGTTAATGACTGCAAGTCAGAATGCCTGCTTGTCTGTCACTAATAATGTCACTAATAATTAAGTAGTTTTTTTACTCCTCACACAGTCTGTCATTTAGGGATGAGATGTGAAACAGTAGTAGATTAATAGCCTTTTTCCACTGCGGGAACGTAGCAACCTGTAACACGGGGCTTCTCCAAACATGTAGGAACCTGTCAGGCTTCGGTACTAGCGTCTCCCTTGCTTGCACTTGTTGAATATGTTGGATATATATGGCATTAGCAACACAAACGTTTGACCATCTACAGCATTTCCATGTGCCGTTTGGTTCCCTTGAAAACCCTGAAAGTCAGAGACTAGTTTTCCAGTCATGTAAACAGAAGAAGAAATTGTAGTCAATAGACCTTTTTCACAGCAACCATTTTGANNNAGGGTAAACACAGGTTTTACCAATGATACTAATTAAGGTTCTGTTCCATTCAGGTCAGACAGAGTGAAGGGGAGGACATGTTGGCTCACTGGAAAAGGCTCTGCTACACTAAATTGGACAAAAACTCGATATTGTTTGTGTTTACCCTACTATTTCATGTAAAATGAAACTGCTGTGAAAAAGGTCTATTCAAGAAGCAATAAAATCAGCTGTGGTGATAACAGCCAAGGGCGCCACGAAGGCAAGCTAACAAAGACGTCCCATAAACGACTGTCTGTCCTGTATCGTCAAGTAAAACGTCCTGGAAAACGTCCTGGAAAGGTCCTGAACAAATGAGGTGGCACTGATATAGGCACTGATTTTCTTTTATGTTGTAATTGAAGATTATTTTCATTGCTTATTAATCTGTTGTTGTAATCTGTAATCAGTTTCTCTATTTATCGATTAGTGTGGTCAGTTCACTGTTTCCCAAAGCCCACGGTGACATCCTCAAATATTAAACCTTTGTCGTCTCACCAGCCGTGGTCTGTTACTCTGTTAAGGGCCTGATGTAACTGCGCTATCATTTGTAGCCTCCTCCATCGTTTTCATTTCCTCGCCAGCAAACACACATTTCCTCCCTGCAGGTCGGCTACACCTGCAGCCAGTATGTCGGAAATCTGTATGTGTTCACGTACTGTGGAAATGTGAGTGTGTGTGGCTGTGCGAT